TGCTTACTAGCGCTTTATGATTACTGTGATCTTATGTATTCAAACTTTGCCACAATATAATTGGCTCATCCACTACGGAGTCCCTCCTCCCTTCAAGGCTTAGTCCTAGAGCTCTCACCTTCTTGGTTGGGATTTGGAGCCGAGCCAGGCGCCGTTCTCTAATCGTCTGTGCTCTGGCCTTTCTCGGCAGAGAACATAGGGGAGAGTTCAAGTAGTCACGTAATCGTCTCAAGCTCTAGTACCGTAGATTTTAGCAGTTTCTGATCATTTTTGGGTAATTTTGTGATTCTTTGCTGCTGCTTAAGGCCCCTGGGTAGTATCCCTTCTCATCCAATTCTCGAGTGGGAAGGGTGGCCTGCTGAGTTAACTTCCTAAAACGCTGTTTTAAGGTAAAGGGGTTCCTTATCGCCGCAAGAGTGACCAGGTATTCCTCGGTCTCGAGATTGCTTTTTTTAAGAGTGGTGACGTAACAGTTGATTAGTGAAATTTATTTCTAGGTGAACGATACTGTCGTCATCGACCTGACCTCCAACAAGATCACTGACTTCGTAAAGTTTGAAGCTGGAAACCTGGCCATGGTTACTGGAGGACGTAACGTTGGTCGTGTTGGTGTGATTGGACATCGTGAGAAACTGCCTGGTGCTTTCGACATCATCCACATAAAGGATTCCGCTGGACACTCCTTCGCCACTCGGTAAGTTTTTGGGAAGGAGAGAGAAGGTCGGGGGCTCAGTGCCATAACTGCCGACCCAGGTTGGTTTGTGTTTGAATGTTATTCCACTTGGAAAACAAGCGGAAATCTTTTTATAGTGTGTCAAACGTGTTCGTTATCGGAAAGGGCAACAAAGCTCTCGTCTCACTTCCTGCTTCTAAGGGTATCCGTCTTACCATTGCAGAAGAAAGGGACAAGCGATTGGCTCAAAAGAAGGCTTGATTATTCTGTTTTGTTGATTTGATAAATGTTGTTGATTTGGACTATTCAGCTGTGTTTTTGTCGCATTACACACAGTTTTCTGTACTTTATAGCAGATGTAATGATTTATTGTGAAAAAGTCGTGACTCTAGTGGAGAAAGAGCGATGCCTGTTGGCCTCGTTGTGTCAGGGAAAGATGGATTTGTTAGAGATGCTCTCTTTAGTGAGTGAATCAAAATCTGTATTGCTAGATTCTATAATGCTCATGTGAGCTGAAAGCGTTCTATGCGAGAGATGACGGAAAACATCTTTGGAGTTTGGTTAGCAGGTAGTGAGAAACTGAAACTCATCTTGCTATACTTGCTCAATAGTCATCCGTACTATTCCCAACAATCGTGGCATGTCCATTGCCAAATGGAAAGGGCGTTATCGTGGAGCTGAGATCATTCGTGAGAACTTCAAGTCAGGGGCTTCGCGATAACTGAAACCTAAGGTTAGCTTTAGGATTAGGCTTGTAACAAGCGGATCAGAGCGGTCTCAATCAGAGTTGCGTAAGCTGACGAGAGTAGATGACGAGATGATGTGACCTGAATCTTTCCATTGCAAGGATATGAATCGAGAGGTGCTGCACGGGTGTGTTTAAATGTTTTTTTTTGTAGCGGTAGAATTTGAGGGTGATGTAGCATGAGCCAGCGTAGCTCTCGGTTTGGTTCGTGTCAACATCGAAGAAAGTGAAGCGATAAGGCCGTCGAAGATTTTCCATTCCATAGCGGTTGAAGGTACTCCTCC